CAACTTCAGATGTGGCACTCCCGTGCATGGAAAGCACCCGACAAGGGCGCTAGGGCCTTACAAATTTAGCCGCAGCCAGCTGCACTTTTCCCCATTTACGCTCCCTCGCCTTACACTCTACTCTCCGGCTCTCGGTCTTTCATTGCCTTAGCACAGCGGCATTACGAAGATGTGAGGAAACTCTTAGGCTAGGCTTCTTCGACAGTTCTTCTCCTTTACTCTTTACTGTCCCCTCCCCACTTCGCACCAATAGTTTCGTACTCACGTGCAAGGACCTCACCAGTTCGATTATGGGACATGCCTTTGAACCCTTTTTGGAGTGTGCCGCACACTTATCTTCCGGTAAGTATCGTAATGGTAATCCAAATACGATTCGGTCTATACAATTATATGGCGAGGCCAAGCGATGAGCGACTCAGTGTTTCTACCCTAATAGACAAGTCTGGTAGTAACTGATCGACTCCGGACGAAAGGAGAGATTGGTTGGCCTGAACGGCGTAGCAGTGGAGTGCGAGGCAAAAGCAGCTCTGATCACCCTGCCATAGTGTCCACGGAACAATCGAGCAATCTTACCGGGTGCATGAGCGTTTTCTCAGGAGTGGCGCCGGGCTTGATTACCGCGCACTGTAGCCCGAATGATCGCGTTGCCGTGCTGCACTTGTGCACCCAACTTACATCAAAGTAAGAAACCCTCCACACTCTCCCGCTACATCTTTCTGACGCATCCCGGTCACCCCAAATGGTGAGAGTCGTCTCAGGAACGTAATTGCGCAGCTTACTTCATCGCAATAGGTCCACAGAGCATCTCCATTCCTTTCTTCACTCATTTGACACTACTCGCAACCGTTTTGGTGGTGTGAGAAATTGGGCCATATGCTGATAGAAGCTTTTTCAGCCCATCTGGTCGTCATACCACTGGACTAGGTGATTTCTCATCGGCCCAATTCAACTACGCCAGAAGGCACGCCGGTCCCACTTTAGTGAAGCGTGGCACAACCCTGACACAAGTGCTCACCCATAAACCCCTGAAGTATCCCAAGCAGCCATACGTGTCTCAGCGGTCTAACCTAACAACTCGTAGGAAAGAAATCCTGCAACTGATTTCAAACTATGCAGGGAGCACTTCCGAACACAAACAAAAAATCCAACTTGTCAAGTTCGAACTTCGGACCATGCAGGCGTGAACGTGACCTCTTATTTGACTCATGAAGGCACAACCATTCAGTTGTATCAAGTACTGGTGGTGAGGTTAGAGCTGTGAACGAGATCTTTCACTGGGTTAAGCTCATTTCAGAACAGTTTTTCGCATGCTGTGGGGCTCTCATGTGGGCTGCAGGACTGGTTCATTTTCGCTGAGTGGCCCCCGATAATCAAAAGAGTTCGGAAAAAATTTGCAAAGATCGGGTGACTTTTTAACGGATTTCGGTGACCAAAGTAATGGCTACTGGTCCTGGTAACGAATACGACACCTATGTTGGCGCTGGCGCTATTTGGAGCAAATCTGGGTGCTCCAACCTAAAATGCAGAAGTTTGGGCATCACGGGGAGCTGAACCTCGGACCACTCCTCCACCACTCTTTGGCCGCTCAGCGAAAATGGACCTCATTTTGGTAGCCCATTCATGACCTCCTATAATATGTTCAAACCGTGTTGAAAAAGCGCCCACATCCTGGAAGGGCTTCCTTATTTGTGAAGTCGTGAACAAGGACGAGGCTTTACCAACACTGGCCTTCGACCGTCTTTTTCGTCACCCACAAAACGGATTGTCTGCTTGACTCCGTATCTTGTGCCCCCTGGTCTATCCTTATTAGTTCCGCGCTCACTCTAGTGCCTCCGCACGGTCCTATTACAATAATGGAGAAGCTCCCAATTTCAACATTCCCGCGAATTCTTATCCCTTTTTCTTTACTGTCGGTCACTTCCACCCCCGCTTTTATACTCACTCGCAAAAATCAAGTATCTGGGGAGACATCTTGGAGGTTCTTGACTTGACAAGCGTTCCGACAGGCTGGACTGGGTGATAATTAGGGTGGTAAAAAAGTCCTGAGCCGTTTGACACTTTTTTGTTCTTTGCTTTTTTATTCCGCGTAGAATGGAATCTACCCAACAATATAATCACCATTGCTACCCACTACAGAGTCCCACCTAATGTGCAGTTCAGCGACTTCCTTCTCCCAGAACAGAGCAGACTGAGAGTCAAAGAAATCGCTGACCGCTCTTCCAACTTCTTTACCTTTGGTGAATTCTTTCTTCGCTAGGGATCCCTTAAGGGGATAGAGTAAGTGATAATCAGAGAAGGCAATGTAAGGGGAATAGGGTTGATGGGGAACCGCGTCCCAGATCAGCTCTTCCAATTTCTGCACGGGTCTCTTTAACTTTGTGGGGCCTGGCGTCATCGTGGAGTAGGTGGACAGAAGTTCGTCTCGGTCGTTTTTCTTGAACAGCGTCCGCTAGTTTCTAGAGCTGACTGGCGTAAATGCTGCCGGTAGCGGTATGTCTTTACGGGAGCATATCATAATACAGCATTCCTCACGAATCCCAGAGGTAGCAAAGGAGACAGCTTTTGGGGTGAAGGTCCGATTTTGCTTGTGTCGGCAGGCCCTCTCTTCGAGGGAGCCACACGGCACTGTGCTTGTTAGAATCGTAGAGGACCCCACTCTCATCTCTCGTAATCACGCCTTCCAAAAACCCCTTTCGGTGCGGGCAAAGAAGGAGAAACTGACAAATGGGTACCCGCCTGAACCGCGTGCTATCGGTCAAGACATGAGGAATCCATTGAGTCACCACTTTCCTGTGGCGAGGTCGTGAAGGGGACCGAGGACTGTGGGATGGGTGCACCCGAGTCTTATCACAAGGCTGCGGGTGCTAACGTCCGGATCCTCTTCGACAGCGCCGAGAACGGTGGAGTCTTCTACCTTTTGTGGGCTTCCCAACCTTGTCTTTTCTTTGAAAGCCGTGTCTCCTCCCTCGAAGCCTGCGAACCAGAGCTTGGCACTGATGATGGAAGTGGTGTGACCTTCCCAATGCGATGCTGATAATGTTGACGGTTCCCACTGCTCCTGTGCCGCAGCGCGATTCATTGAAGATGATCGCTCGAAAGTGTTCTTGTGGAATCACCATCATTATTAAAGTTAAAGAAGGCAACCCGGCAATATATACCTACTGCGGAGAAGTATGATCGACAGCGATAGTCTATCACGTAGCAGATTCTAGGTATCGACCAATAAGCGAAAGTTCTGGAGCTTTCAAAAAATCGGCTCAGGACTTTTCTTACCATCCCAAGTATTAACATTTTCTTTCCAGCCGATCGTGCACAACTCGAACAGGAAAGGGTTCATCTGGAATTTGGGTATGTCGTTTTAGGGTCGATCAAGGTTAACAGCACCTTGAAAAAATGCAAAACGCTACGGTTGACCCTGTCCCTTTCGTATTCAAGTTTTTCGTCCACAGAAGCGTGCACGCAGCGGGGTTGCGCAATGAAGAGCGTCGTGATCGTTAAGAGCCTTAAGAAGGGGTGTATGTCAAGAGAATCGTCCAAAGCCCCTCGCTGCTGGTCGTGGTCGCGAGGTGGCGACTGCTGCTGTGGACGAGTTTCTGTGAGCGCCATTTGAATCTGATGTTAAAGAGACAACAAGCGACCCTCCTCCTCCTCTAGCACTCATGGTCAGTTCTGTGTTCTACACAAGTTATCGTGGGCTCTAATCGTCAAATTCAAAAATTGCCGCGCCCACTGGAAAGGGACCGCATTGGGACGCCGCATAAATGGCCGCGCGCAGCGATGCCACTCTCGGACGATTCTGTTGACCGTCACCGTTCAGAAGCGGTAACATGTGGAGTTGCACCACCCCAGGCACGATCTTTGACCAAGACGACCACTCGTGTAATGTGCTCTCCAACTTGACGTTTGTAGGATTACTTCTCTAATGGTTAGTAGAGCTATCGTTGGTTCAAAAGCTTCCCGTCACTAGCGCATAGTTTGTTTCTTGGGGCAGAACATGCCGTAATTGCACACTCGGGAGTACACATGGCCGTGGTCTCAAACAATCAACATCACATCTATTTTCGTTGTTTTTGATAATATGTGATGCAGTGTGTTATTAGTTCTGCAATTGCGACCGTACTGACCGTGGGAAACGTGTGCACCCATATGCTTCGTTTGCAGTTGCTTCTAAAATCGATATTTTGTTTAATATTCGGCAAAAATTGTTCACAATCAGCATAAAATCTTTATTGATGACATGGATTAAGCACGATATAAATCACCATGTGTTATATACAAGTATGGGACTAGAACGAGTAATTTTGAGAGTTTGATCACGTTTATAGATTTTGGGATGAGTCATAATATATGAGTGTTGAGTTGCACGATCAACTGAATCACCAGTGGGGCTTAAATAGGGATGGGGTTCTTATCGTGGATTGGTTTAGTCAACTTTTTTTGGGAGAAATAATTGAATGGACAAAAAATAGGCGCCTAGGAAATGTACAAAAGACATATGTCGTACGGTAATATGCTCGTATTGAGGGCGAAATGAAATTGAAGAAAACAGAGTGAAAACGGTATTGGGCCAGGGAAGGGTTGGGGTCTTATGAAGAGCCTTACACACAACGAAGCGCATAAATAACGGATGATGACGGATATAACGCACAATGGGATAGAGAGCTGACCAGTACGTGCACGTGCACTAGGCTAATCGATAATTTGATCAGAATCGCGCTAGATGCCCAGATGTGCGGAAGGAGGTGTACGCATTGAGGGACAATAACGAAAACATACATAGAAATGTAACTACCACCAACAAACCACAGAAATGCACACACTGGAAAAACGGAGCGACCGTAGTAGCCACACATGGAAGCGCGCTGCAGGACCCACGGCGGATTACGGTGAAGCGCAAAGTGCGTATAGTTCCGTGTAGGCGAGTGTGACACATGAAGTCAGTAGGTACGGCAGGGCGGCGTCGGCGATTGGGCGGGCGAGCGGGATGTGCTGAACCGGGGAGACAAAAGATGCTAGCGATGTGTTGAGCTGAATAACCGCAATCCATAAAACACATACAATGGTGCCGCCCGTGGCGCAAGCGCATGATCGATATGTTAACAAGTAAGCGAGCGGACGCGCAGCGGACGAACGGCACACAAATATCGTACGAAGGAGGGGCAGTGGTCAGGCGTAGCTCGTCTTGAGCTTCGAACACACACATTGCGGTCGACACGAAGTCGCTCGTCGCCGCCGTGGAGTTACCTGAACGGAATTTGAATTTAGTTTGGCGTGTAGAAAATATAGCTATTGATTGATAGAGAACGTCACCTTGTCGGTGGGAGACGATTCGCTTGTGGAGAAATGGACGGTGATCAGGTTTTCCAACGTCACCAACATTGCTTCCATATTAGCAATCTACAAAAATTTCTTCTATTAGTGTACTTCTTAAGTCACCAGCCCCCTACACCCTAACACCCCTCCCTTGAAGCACTTTTGGAAATTTGAGGGTGCTGCTGGAGCGTGTTAAATGGAAGCAAGTTCAACAGTGCCAGCGATCATTTGATGGAGAGGGAGCTGTATGGGAAAGAGCCTCGCGGGGTTGTTTCCAAGCTCAGGATTTTTTACCAATGTGTTGGTTGACCGTAGTAATGGCTATTAATACATTCTACACAACTCAGTAAAGGTAGGAACGAAGCAGTGACAAGGTTAGCAGCAGTATGTACGATACGCAGATCGCATCCACTCCAAACGAACAAAACATTCTATCTTCAAAGTCCAGTAAGAGCACCAGTTTTAGTTTCAGTTCAGAGCACCAGCAGTAGTTTGGAAAACCCTGCTCCTGACTCTGGACACTGAACTAATTCATGCCGAATCATGGGCATTCTCCCGCTGGATGGTCGTCTCACACTGCCGTGGAGCTGGTTTGCTCAGAGACAGACTTTACGATGAAAAGACATCCACTAGGAATCAAGGTAGGAGTGATCAGTGATACAGGGATGAAGGAAAAACCAAAAAGGAACCTAGGCCTGAGAAATGAGAGCCCTCTGGCTCGCTGATTTGCGCAATAGGCGTGTATCGTCGGTGTAGATCTGACCAATGCTAACGCTCCCTTGCTAGGCTGATGGAACCAGACGGCAGGGGTGGGCGGGCAGCGGCGATAGCGTTGCAGAGACGGCCTATTTCTCCTCTAAGTGGGTTTCCTTTCCTTCGATCTCCGATTATCATGGAATTCTCTTTCAAGGTTTTAGCGGTGTAACAAGTTGAAGTCGCCCCGCTCATTGGCAAGATGAAATGCCCGCTAATGGACGAGTCGCCTTGAAAATACTTGGTTGCTTTGCCATTGGGCACAGAGGTGAGCATCACGGTGAGTAAATGGACTTGGCAGTACGACTCGCGCTCCAACAAGGATATTGGTGCGACCTCCTCTGTTCGATGGTGTCAATGTAGTGCCGTTAATTCTGTTACTACTTGGCACAGTCCCGAACTCCGCCCCGACTTCCTCCAAAACACCGTTAACTTGAACAGTGATTCTTTAGCCGCCGCTCTCTCATTTTCCCACCCATCATCACAGCCCATCTATCTGCGACCCCCAGAAAACGTGGATACGACGT